TATGTTATCTATATAAATATAGCAGTACTGTCTGTTGTATGTTATCTATATAAATATAATAGTACTGTCTGTTGTATGTTATCTATATAAATATAATAGTACTGTCTGTTGTATGTTATCTATATAAATATAATAGTACTATCTGCTGTATGTATCTATTAACATGAAGGTTTGTTGAACCCTTGAGGAGATATACGTAAATTTGTGGTTTCACATTTTATGTTTTGCAGTTTTTATGGCAGTTTTCACAATTACATATAAGAGAAGCCACTTTTCGTGTCCTAAGATAACCTTTCATTAATCATGAATTTACGTAACGTCCAGGAGATGGGTACTCCAGCTAGTTTTGAATAAATTAAGGATAAACAATATTAGAAATGAAACTCTTAATTGTCAGAAGTTGTGTCTGTTCAATTATTATATTTTTGCTGGATTTCAATTTTCATTAGTTGACTTCACACTTCAGATTTGATCATCTCTGTCTTTGTTCGTGACATTCTTTGTAGGAAGTTTTAGGTTTTCAAAAACTGTCTTCTCTGATCAGTACTGCAACATTATTTTGTCTAGTGTACACAATCCATGTTCTAAACAATATTCAATATCCTAAAATCTGGATGAAAGTTCTATATTGCTGAAACTTGCTTCTTCAATCCAAAATTATTTATTTCAGGTTTTCCAACTTGGTGGAACACCAGAAAATCCACTCACAAAAGTACTAGATTTATTTAAATATTAAGGGGCTTATTATTATAGTGCCGGGCCACTAATTATGTTTATGACTTTCTACCTTCCAGCAATAACTTCAAGATAACTGGTCAAAAAGAGCTTTTAATATCTTTATAATAACTTTAGGTAATATATCTAAGATACTAATAATTCAAGCACAATTTGACTTGAATGTTGAGTGAAAAGTCTAAAGTTATGACTTAATTTATTTTACAAATTGGGAACTAAGTTTTGTATTAAAATGTATAGCTGCAGCATACTTTTATACATATTATTATCTGTAATATTATCATTGAATATATTCTTATCATCAATGACTATATTGAAGATAGTTCGTACACTATAAAATATCGTAATAAAAATTAATACAACTATGGATATTAAATGTGTATAATTATAATTTCTTGGCAACCAAGTACTGAATAGAACACTTAAATACAAATAGAATGGTTATCTTATAGTAACGTACCCTGGATCCCCAAATAGAGTATTCTAACGGGTGGTAAAGTTTGAAACAAAACCCATCCTTCTTTGACGGACGCTGAATAAGTTCACAAGCATTCAACATCACTGTTCCTACCCACTGGCTGCTCTGGATCATCACAAATATACATACAGTAAGTTTTAAACATGTATTCTAAGCCTCGAGGAGCTTGAGAAAAAAACATACAAGTACCTCACTGTTACTATGTAAATACTTGTCGGTGATAACACGGTCAAAAAACACACCGAGATGGAAGATTAAAATTTTATAGCCTCAAAAATATATTTTTATCTGTTTTAAAGATTTTTAAATGCAATTCTAATAAAAATACAGATGTATAAAACATGCATTATATAGATTTTATATAAAGTCCTGTATTACAAAATATTTACAACATTTTTGGACTTAGCTTCTATATAAACATATGGAAAATCCTGAACTTTAAAAACTTAGACTATCTTCAATTGAAAAATACAGAACAAATGAATTGAAAGCACATACAGTGCAGAAAACTGTGAAAATGCTAAGCCTTTTTCTAATAGGAACGAAATAAGAAAAAAAACATAAGGTGTTTATATATATTTCATATTTAAACCTATGAAACATTTTTATTTCAAACAAAAACGTTTTAAGTTAATAAATTATGACTGTTTCAACATACTTTGTGAGTTTTTGGACTTTTATAGAGAAGCAGAAGTCCAGGTTTAAGGACACACCACAGTTTAGTCCATCCTTTTAAGGTCCCTCTTACTTTAAGCCAATCAGCTAGAATGACAATGGATGGGTCACGCAAGGTACTTAATAATTCCTTTGCTACTCGTTTCTTTTCTCTTCTATAGTTTTTTCTTTGAGCCTGCAAAAAGTTTTATTTTAATTACTAAGATAATGTTCAGCAGTGAAATACAGTAGTCCCGAAACCTTTAATGTTTACTTCACGCAAGAAAGATTAAAAATTACAACAGCTTGCTACTCTTACGTCACTCAGTATGTGTTTTTACTGCTGTCATTTCAAAAACTGTGTCTATAATAGCTCAAAAATTATGTATTGGATTGTTTCAAACATTCTCTTATACTGTTCTTAAGTGTATACAAAATTTAATGCTTTTACTGTTCATGCTACAAGGATACAGCCATATATTTATGCTTCAAATACATCTGAACTCAAAGAACTATGATATATTATTCACTATAAATACATAACAACATACTGTAACTCGAAATGTGTAGAAATGTACTTAGACAAGAAATAATTACATGAACAAGTTCAAATACTGTACATTCACTTCTTAAGTTTTAAATAACTACATGAACAAGTTCAAATACTGTACAGTCACTTCTTAAGTTTTAAATAATTACATGAACAAGTTCAAATATTGTACCTTCACTTCTTAAGTTTTAAATAATTACATGAACAAGTTCAAATATTGTACATTCACTTCTTAAGTTTTAAATAACTATATGAACAAGTTCAAATATTGTACATTCACTTCTTAAGTTTTAACTAATTACATGAACAAGTTCAAATATTGTACTGTCACGTCTCTGGTCGTTAGTTAATTTTACGTAAAATTTCTTTCCGATGAAACTTTAGTGATACAAGTCCTTTCTTAAATAAAACTGGTTTATTTTTTCTGAATACAACTATGCAATACACTTAAATTCCACAGTCACGCTATAACAAACGCTATAATTCACAACGAACGTCTCACATGCTCGACTCAACTGTCAATTACACATTACATTGTTGCAGTCGCTTTTTGGCGGCTTATATATACAAGACTACCGCATCTCTAGTAAAAGCTCAAGACTTCATGAACCTTCGAGAATATGACATGTTACTAGCGTCATGTGACCCCTGCTGTTGTAACAGTACATTCACTTCTTAAGTTTTAAATAACTACATGAACAAGTTCAAATATTGTACATTCACTTCTTAAGTTTTAAATAACTACACTATGGATTAGGTTTCGAAACATTCCCGCTATTAACATTATAGAATATTCTGCACTTTACTAAACATGCGTACAAATTACTTCAATACAGTTTACACATGACTTTCTATTCTGCAGCAAACACAAGACATTCCACACTGTGATAAGTATCGTACATATACTTATAATTATTCTAATCATGTATTTCTGGCATTTGTATGCATCTCAAAGTTATCTACACTAATGCAACTGTAATTTATAAAGTATTGCAAAATTTGATTAATGTAATTAATGATTGAAAGAAAAAACTTTAAGATACACTTACAAAACATTGGAATTAATAAAAACTTCAAAATCATATTCTAATGGACTTTATGTGAATAACAAAACAATTTATTCATGAACCTTGGTCTTTAAAATGTTGCTCCAAATCACTTTCATTCCACTTAAGCGACGTCTTTCTGAAAATCTCTGAAACGTCTAATGGGTTGCTGAACGAGAAGTTAAGCCTATCCTCCTTATTGGTCATGGTCCGTATTAATAGAGATGAACAGCGTAGGGCTAGCTCTAAGGCATCCATCCAGCATCTTCCTGCCGACTCAGATGAAACTCGAAAAATGAGGTATGACATTGGAAAGGGTTGTGTAATTGCTCCAATTGCCTCACCATGAGGTCCCTAGCAAAGAATTGTGTATAATTATTAATACATACTTCAGGAGGTTAATTCTTCATGAAAGTCTCTTATGAAATAAGAATTATATGTAAAATTCTTCATGCTCAAAGATAACATAAATTTCTTAAAAAGTTGGGCATCTCATATTATCAACTTTGAACACATTTAACCACAGAAATAAATTCATAATCAGATATACGAAGAAGTTGTTACACTGGAAGAGGTAAACATAATTTACACAATATCTTACAACATACAAATGGCTTAATGTTTTATGATACAATACTGTAATTTAAAATAATTGAACTAAAATAATTACATACAAATGAAATAAAGGGAAAAATAATAAAACAAGCAAATCATATTTTTAGAGTATGTTATAAAATGTTCATATAACAGTAAACTTAACAAGTGATGCATAAATTAAGACTAGCGTCATATATTACTAATTTATGCTGATGCACATGACTTATGTTAATTGTGTTGTTTGACTGTAAGGAAGTAATATGAACACGTTTAGTAAAATGTAAAATATCCTATATGTGCATCAGCATAATGACTTATGTTAATTGTGTTGTTTGACTGTAAGGAAGTAATATGTACACGTTTAGTAAATTGTAGCATATTCCATATGCAGTAGTACATAATGTCTTATACTGATTGCATCAAAGTCATTTGTGCGTATAATTAGCATCACAAAAACATCATTCCTTGTATTTTCCACAGTTTTTTTTTGGTATTTCAAGAAAGTATGATTTGTACCATTTACTTACGGCTTAGAATATAGAATATTTTGTATTGTCTATCGGTATAGAGTGAATTGCAGTATGTATAGTTAATTGGAAGCGATTTGTGCATATAATGTCCTTTATTTGTTGCAGTCTTGACTAACCTGTTCTAATTCCAATAATATTTTATTACATGTACTTACAAAGCATAGAGTCTCGTCATTTTTTTGCTTAGTAGCCTGTATTGTAATTATAAATTAATTACTTTTTTATCATTAGTACTAGGTACTACTTACAAAGGAGTTTATATACTACATTTTCGATGACAAGGAACCCACTTTGAGACTAATAATGGTTGGAGATGGCTTGAATGGGTAATGAAGAAAAACTT